GAAGATTATAAAAGTGCATTTTAGACACTTGATTTTTTTTTTTTTAACCATAAAGGCAAAAATGTCTCGCAAGGAACAAAAATGAAATGTGCTATGTACAGTGAAGGTGCTTTAGCTGAAAGAACTGTACAGAAGTAGTTCGCTAGTTGGTAATTGTAGCCTTATTAATGACTCAGACAGCCCCCACACACACTACAGATGACAACCAAATCAAGACAGTAATTGAGAATACAAATTACATTACAAAACATGGTAATTGGCAGAAACACTAAATTTATCAAAATCCACCATTCATGAGCACTTAGTGAAGCTTGGATACTCAAATGGCTATGATGAGTACCACATGACCTGAGTGAAAAGAATTATTCTGAGATTTGCTGTAGAAACACAATGAAAATGTACCCTTTTTAAAGCAATTTATGATGGTTGATGAGAAATGGATTGTTTGCAACAATGTTCAGTGAAAAAGATCCTGGCATAATCGATATGAAACAACTTTAGCCACCTCAAATGCAGAAAGTCATGCTGTGCATCTGGTGGGATTGGAAAGGAATCCTGTACTATGAGCTTTTGCAAAAGTAACCAGTCAACTGATTCAAGAAAAATGCTCAGAATTGGCAAAGGAAAGGTGTTGTTTTCCATCAAGATAATGTCAGATCTCACATTTCTTGGTAACCTGGCAAAAATTGTTGCAGCTTGACTGGAATGTGTTACCCACCTGCCATATTCACCAGACACTGCTCTTTCAGATTGACATTTATTCAGGCCCTTGCAAAATAATCTCAATTGTAAAAATTTTAATTCTTTGGATGACATATAAAACCCACTTTAATGAGTTCTTTGCCAAGAAACCACTGAAATTCTGGTAAGATGGAATTTTTAAATTGAAGGAAAAATGGAAAAAGGTTGTGCAACAAAATGGTTCATATTTAGTTGAATAAATATTTAATGGCATAATTTTGTTTTGTGTTTAATTTCCCTTAAAAATCAGCATGAACTTTCTGAACAATCCAATATTATTTACATTATTTACATTGTCCTCATCTTTATTGCCATATTCACAATGTTTCAACCACTGTACGCTCCAGCCTTTTTCAAGTGATTGGAATTTCAAACTGAACCCTTTATTTCATCCACTGAGGTAGATTGTTCTAGCTCCATGTGCCATGGCTCTTCCAGATTCTCAGTTATCTCCTTTTAACTCAACTATTCAAGTTTTTGTTCACCACTGCAGTAGCCAAGTATTGAACTCACAACGCTTTGGGTTAAGTCACTGGATCTAACCAATGTTCAATGCCTGGCTACTGCAGTGGTGAACAAAAACTTGGAGAGTTGAGTTAAAGGGAGATAACTAAGACATCCACAAGAGGCATGGCATATGGAACTAGAACAATCTACCCCAGTGGATGAAATAAAGGGTTCAGTTCAAAATTCCAATCACCTAAGGAAGGCCAATATGTACAATGGCCAAAACATCGTGAATATGGCAATAAAGATGAGGATAACAGTCTGAACAATGTAAATAATTACAATACCTCATCTCAGAAATATACACAGATATTGAACCCAATATTATTTTGTTCCAGTCATCTGTTATTTTCAGGCAACCTTATCATTCTATCCTAGCAGAACTACTTTCAGTATCTTTTGCAATCATCCAGAGAATAGAAACTTTTGTTTTTTATTAAGAGAATTCCATAAAACCTGGAATAAATGAGAATCTGAAGGTGTGATATTTGATGAATATGGCAGATGAGTGAAAACTTCCCAGCCAAGCTGCAACAATTCTGGTTTAATAACTAAAGAACCATTTGGTCTAACATTATCATGATGGAATATTATTATTATTATTCTCTCTCTCTTAATTCTAAATCCTTTTTATTTTATTTATTTTGATTATTGCCTTTAGTTGTAATCGAGAACAGTACTTGTTCATATCAATCTTTTGGTTCCCTAGAAGCAGCTCCTAGTAAAGGACTCTCTTTCAATCTCACCATCTATACAGTATCACCTTTTTGGGATGAAGGTAGTGTTTAGAATGGTAAATATAGCAAAAGAGTGAAAACTTCCCAGATAACCTATAACAATTCTTCATTAGTGACCAAATAACCATCTCGTCTAACATTATCATGATTATCATAATAGTGATAAGATTTTTAAATTTGTGGAATGACCAAGTCACATGATGAACAGACTTTAATATTAACCTTATAGTATAATTCTTCTTCTATGTTTCCTTTAAGATATGAGCGATCATAGTTCCCCACAACTTCCTATTCTTTGTAGCTCTTAGTAAGGTTTGTCTTTTCACCGTACCTTGCAGTCTTTGATCTGTCATCCATTTATGCAAGCTTGTTAAATAAGTTACTGGCTGTTTCCATCTGCCACTCTTGCTTCAATATGTCCTGTTAGTGTCAAATTCTCCAGTCTCTCTTTCCTCATCATGTGTCCTAGAAATTTTAATTCCTTTTTGTTTCTATTTTCTGTAAAACTTCCTTATTACTCATATATTCAGTCTATGGTATTCACAGTCTCTTTCCTTGAACCACATTTCCATTGTTTCAAGTCTCTTTTTCATCTGCATCCACTGCCATATAGGACGACTGATTTTACATAACTTTTTAGCACTCTTTTTTACTTCTAATGAAATTTTCTTGCTTCCTTATACTCTGCTTAACTTTTGGAAGGCATCTTTCATTATTCAATGTGCCTTTGGATTTCAGTGTCACATTTTCTGTCTTGTGTTAGAACACTTTCCAGATATTTAAATTTTCATAATTGATTGATTTTGGTGTCTCAGATTCATAGTTTGCATCTTAGGCAGTTTCACTTGCTGACAACCATTCATTCTGTCTTCTTACAATTCATGGTTACACCTTTCTTTTTCTCTTTCCTTTATGACTTTCTGTACTTCCTGCAGTTTCTTTTCTATGTCTGCTATCAACACTGTGTCATCTGCATATTTTTGGTTCTTAAGATTGTGTCCACCAATAATAAATCCTGGTATGACTTCTATTTCTCTCAGGATCACCTTACTGAATAAATCTGGTGAGAAGACACATCCTTGTCTTATGCCCCTTTCTATTTTTGTGTATTTACTGAATTCATTTTCTATCCATCTGCAGGCAGTTTGCTCCCAATTCTGGATTATTCTCATATTATACCTGTCAAGCTTTCCTAGCAGTTCAAATAGTTCTTTGTGTTCTACCCTATCAAGCACTTTTACATATTCTATGAAACATAAGTATATGTTCCCCCACATTTGTACTGCTTTTTTTTATATATCATTCTGAATATAAATATCTCATTCCTTGTTCCAGTACCTTTAACAAAACTGTATCACTTCTTGTCCTATTTCTGGTCTAATTCTTCTCTGCACTCGATTCATCAAAATTCAGATAAGTTTCATTATGTGGCTTTTTAGGCTATCCAATGAAGCTCACATTAATTAAAATAATTAAAACATAATTTACTTATGAATGGAATATAATTATGATTTTAAATAATAAGTCTTTGAAAGTCATTTCCAATTCAGTTAAGTAAAAATTAAATAAATTGCTTAAGTATAGAATAAGAAGAATTGTTAATACTTCACAAGAGAAAGTATAACACATAAAAAGGAAGGATATTAGCACAAATTTATAACTGCTAACCACGAAAGAATTAAACTTTCTGAAACAATGTATTTTGTATAAATAAATGTTTCCTGTAGATCATTTTTCTTGACATTTTAAAATGATGTATTTTAAATGTTTGTATACAAAATATAAACATACATAAAGACTGTAAAATTGCTTTTCATAAAATATAAATAAAATATGTTAAATGAATAATCTTTACAAGCACAGTGTAATCAAAAAGTTTGTGAACCAGTTAAATTGAATGTAGCTGAGCAATATATAAGTAATAAGGAAGCCAGTACAAATATTTTGGGGCTGCTCTCAAATAGCAGAAATATTTTAAAAGTAGTTGATGGTTCAGTGAAGATGTCTATTATACTGATCAGCTATCAGCTTTGAGTTTGTTTTTTTTTTGTCAGAAAAGTTTATTGCAAATTCTCATTTGTCAATTAAGCTAGTAATTAAAAATATTTACATTCTAATGGTTTTTGACAGATTTGGAAAAAATTTTGGAAAACCTCATTTCAAATCAAAGTTCATTCAGTCACTTAAAAGGAAATGTTTAGACAGGCTGAAGCATTTTATTTTTTTAAGTCCTGTTGCTCATGATAAAACAAGAATTTATGAACATCAAATCTAAGGTAAGTTAATCATGAAAGATAAAGAAAGGTGAAGAATGAGAGAATCTAATGTCAAGATAGATATTCTATTTTTAATTACCATATATAATTGTGCACTGAAAATTAACAGGTGGAAGAATGGTTGTTGACAGAAAAGTAAAATGAGACTACTACAGAACAACTACAACAACTTGTGTCCTTTTCTGGCATCCATAAAGTGTTGTTTTGCATGATCCCTAAATTTTTTCTTTAAAGAAATATTTGAAAGGCAGTATTTTCAAGCAATAAAAGATGCTAAAAACAATGTGTTTAATGAAATTAAATTTTCTTTACAAAGACAATAAAGTCATCATTAGTGCATAAATACAGAAGGAAAGTTTGCTTGAAGAAAATAATAATCAAATCAATATTTATTAATTTTTCTTTTGTGTTTTAATTTTTTAATTTCATTTTTATGAAAGTCTAATACAATAGCTTTATGGCTTCAGTAAGAAAAAACATTTCAAACAATAAGGTTGATGCAATCTACATGGGTTGATTGATTTTTATGGCTTATCAACCCTTTATGAGTTATTTAAAGCCAAAATATCCTTTGTATGGTTTAAATAATTCCTTTTTTTTCCTTTTTTGAGTAAATATAGTATTAACAATTTTGTGAGAATAAGATTATTTTTGCAGATTCAAGTTCTACTATTTAACTGGGGAGAAAATGGGTTAATACCTTTCCCATGGGTACATGTGCATGAATGAAGCAACCTACCTGGAAAGTGCTTGTATGCTTCATCAGATAGCCTTCCTTTGTGCAGGTCTGAAAATAAATAACAAGTAAACATTCATACAATAGCAGTTTCTTGAAATATGCAAAGAGCAAAGCTTTTCCTTTAAAGGGAACATGAGATTCTCAATAGAAAAGCAACAAATTCAGTTAATAACAATGATTCTAATAAGAGAGAAACCTGAATATGAATTATTACGTTGACAAATAATTTACTTACATGGAGTTAAAAGACTGAAAAATTACACAGCTATATGCTTATAAGCAACTGCAATCAAATTTGACTAAATCTTAAGCAACTCCACCACTGACATCTGTGTGGCTTAAGCAATTGAGTTTAAACATAAAAGTTAGTGAATACATTATTTATTAATGTGTTCAAAAATTTTACTACTTAATAGAAACCAGGTTTGGAAGTAAGAATTTAGAAATTAAATTGATATTTTGAATGGTTAAACAAGTGAAAAGTTTAATGTATTCTTTCTTTTTAAATTGTAGAGTACATGAAGTGAAATCGTTTTTTTGTTTTTCTATGTAATAATATTTAAAACATTAAAGTAGTTCAGTTTACACTGCAATGTAGTCCTTTTGTCTATTTATTAAACACATAAATAAAAAAACTGAAGCAACCATTTAATCAATTGGGGTCCTAATTTTTGCATAAAAATTAAGCAACCCAAGTGCCAAACAAAATTCTAAGTTACTAATAAAATAAATAATAGTTTACTTTAAATTGAGAGCCAAGTGTTTTTAGAGGAGATGCAATCAATAAATGATCTCAAATTTTAATAATAATATTCACTACAGATGTAAGACTTGTGAGGGCTTCTAATATCTGAAAAAAGAAAAACATCTGCAAAACTATTTAGTTTTCATTATGGTTTTATTATTTAACAAATTATGAATTGTTTTTCTCCAGTAAGTTTGAGCAGCATACTCAAGTTAACACTGACCTGCCTTGTTGACTTGAAATAGATAAGAGTCATAAACAGAATATAAGTAATGCTATTTTAAACAAATACAATTCATAGTTGGTCATAGAGTGTTTTTTCTTATAATTGGCGACATTAAATATTTCAATAAAAAATACAAACAGGAAAACCTAACAGGAGGAGGAGATTAAATACAAAGTGTAGCAAAGAGCAACAAAAACATTATCAGTAGTTAAGAAAAATAAAATCATTTTTCATGAATAAATTCCAAAACAATTTTATTTCAATAATATGCAATAAACATGAAGAGTAATCAGCAAAGATGATTAAAAGATTGTTAGCTGCCTGGTCAGGTGATCGGAAAGAAAAGGAAGTAGTAATAAGGGTTGTAAATTTTAGATTCATGACATCAAGTAGGCATAATTAGAAAGAGGAATTACATTTAGTACATGAAGGAAAAGCAGGATTGGAAGAGCATTTCTTAGTTTTATGTCATTAAAAAATAGTTCATGTTTAGACTTGCATTCAGTCTATAAGTTCTGAAAAATATCAAATGATTATCTGCTAACAAACTTCTACAAGATTTTTTTTTATTTTAATATTTTTTTAAAAAAAATTAATAAAAATAGTTCAATAATTTTTTTTATCAAATTTTCATCTTTTTCTAAAACTAAAAAACAAAAATTATGATATTTGTATTTTACATGTTCATTAATCTTGATACTATAAACAAAAAATATATATTCATCATAAAATAAAATAATTCTATTAACATATGTAAAATATAATAATTTAACGTATATCAAGGTAAACAGAATTTCTGCTCAATATTTGACTGGAGCAATAATTACTGAATCAGGTATAATAAGGTTAAGTACAAAATCAATAATAGAAATTGTAGATTATGTTTAGAAGAAAAATTACAAACAATTAGTTTCAGAAATAAAAATAAATTATTAGATAAAAAGAATGAAATACCAAGAAAATACAAACAATATACCTTCTCTATTACATAAAACCAGATTAAAATTATATTCACACACATGCATATTATATATATATATATATATATATATATATATATATATATATATATATATATATATTGTCATCCACAGACACTGTTTAAGCTGTATCACAGGTCATCAGTGTGGCTAGATATCCAATCCAATTGCTTCAAATTGGGACTGAAACCCAACTGATTTGGCATCAGTTGGAGCTTCTAATCCCTAGGTTATCAGCGCCCAGCAGAGAGAAAGGTGAATTTTTGCACGTTTATTTTTCATAAACACACCAGTGACCTACAGGACTCAATCCATATATTTTTAAATTTCTTTATATATATATATATATATATATATATATACACACACACTTAAACTGAAAAAAAATGTGAATATATGTATATATGATAAAAATAATATAAATACATTTCTATATGTGCTAATATTTAGGTGTACTTGTACATATACATGTAGATATAATATACATAAGAAAATATAAATAAATATGTAAATTTAATTAAGAATATAAGTAATAGTTTTATATATTACTTTTAAATAAAAGTATACATTAACATAATGCATTTTTTTAGTGTCCCTATTTGCAAATACCATATGAGAACACAGATTTTAATTTTATGATTTACATTAAAAAATTAAATTACCTTGAATCAAAGAGAAATAAAAATACATAATAATAAATGTAGTTTATCATGAAAAGACTAATATTTCATTATTATTTATTTATATTATTTCTGTTTGATTCACAGAAAATTATATAAATTAATGTAAATCATAAAATTAAAATCTGTGTTCTCATATGGTATTTGTAAATAGGGACACTAATCTAATTACTAAGGGAGGTAAATCAACATAATTTAGTAAATTTATGAGTGATTACTATCCTTAGTCATTTTAATAATCTATACAAATAATTATTTGCATTTAGACAAAATTACTTCCCAAGAAAAATGAAGTTTAATTAATCAGTTCCTTTACTCCTACATTTTTTCATTGCAGTCTTTTTTGTTCAAGCCTTTAATGTGAGCCACTCAGATACCTTTGTTTATTAAGTGATCATCTTGCTTCAACTTGGTCTTGAAATAGGCATTGCCATCACCATTTTTGTCATTCTGTTCCTAATCTTTTTCTTCTGAGAGATATTTCCATTTCACTATTATATTAAACACATAAATTTTTTTAACATGAAAAGATATTGAGCAAAAGGCAATTTCTATAATACCAGGAGTAATCAATGAATCAGATACCATTGAATGTCTAAAAAAAATAAATAAATAAATAGAAAGGGAATGGATTAATTAAATGGTTCATTGGCCTCTATTTTAGTTGTGAATTTTTTATTTTCTTATTATTGAATCTCAATACATTGTTTCAAGAATTGTTTTATTGCATCTCACAATTAAAATAATTTCTATTTCTAACAATTGCTGTCATTTTTTTATGGTACAGGTACATGAACATATTAAAGAAAAAGTAACTTTATGATAATTAAGCTTTAAAATGACTTCTCTTAGTCATAAATAAATAAAAAATCAATATAAATAGGTTCTTTCTCAGATTGAAGAATCAGAGAGACAAGTTCAAATTCCAGGTGAATCCATTACATTCACTTACGTGCTAATACCCTTGGGAAAGGTATGAGTCCTCTTCTTCTCCCCACCCCCAGCTATAGGCAAATAACAGGACAGACTGGGTTCTATAGCCCTGGATGGCAACTGGTCTACCGCAGAAAGAAATGGCAACCTACTGCGAGAAAAAATCTGCTTTGTCAGTCATGTATCGAAAGATATATGATCGCCTAAGCGTGCATCACGTATGGCACATAAAAAAATGTTATGATCTGAGGTCAGTAATGTAATTAAAATATTAAATATAAGTATTTATATTATTAAGTAGGTAAACACTAATTTTGTATTGTTTACATTTATAATGATGTAGAAACATAAAATCATCATGAATGCAATTTCAACTTGTAAATCAGTGTGATTTCTCTTCTTCAGCAAGTTTGTAAATAACTCTTACCAGTTTTCTCCAAATCTCCCTGTCCTTTGATGATTCACAAAAGTGCTGCAGATCTGCCAAACTCTTCAAATATTTTATGGAGAATGATGGAATTTTATTGATAGTTCTTTTAACGTTGTCTTTCAATATGAATACTATGGTTGTTTGTCCAATACCTAGGAAAGTTATTCTTACATTTGATATTAATAACAAAACAATTTCCATAATATTTACTGTTTCCAAAGATACTGACTTATCAAGGAAAAATATTCTTTAACTAACTTCTTGGAGACAATGTACATCAATGTTATCAATGTCAAAATTAAGATTTAAAGTATATTTTTAACACAGATGACATCTTTAAGCATACTTGAATGACTCCTGAATAAATGAAGAAGCATTGAAAATCATTATTGATTACTTTTTCTTGCATCTTAATTCGTTTTCATTGAAACAAACAAGACTGTCATTCCATGACCATCAGTAAACAATGCAGATCAGAAATGAAGAATTAGCTCTTGGCAAAACTTGAACTCTATTAATTAACTTGATGTAATGGACATGGCTTATCTCCTCAATGAAAGAGGCACAAAATCACCTGTGCCATACACAGTCATGTAAATTACCTTATGCCTTAGGTCTAATTAAATGCCTATAGGTGGGCATGAAAAAATCTGCATAATTGACCGAGGCACACATAAAAGCTGGCAGATTTTTCCTTCAGCAGAAAAAGAAGCCAGCGGAGAATAGATTCCAATGAGCCAGCTGTGAGGTTCAAGGACAAAGAGTGGCAGTGAGGAATGTGAAACAGATTACTATGAATATATTGTTACACATGTCTTTCCCTAAAAGCTGCTCTACTGCTTGGAATGCAAGAGCTTTAGGGTTGACAGAAGATCAAACCTAACCTATAAACTTCATTTTCCTCCAACTGTTTCAGCACTATATTTGTTGTCATTGTTTTTACACATACTAGTAGTATTGGTGGTAGAAACATTATCTTGAAATTTTAGGAGATAAAGGATTGTCAACAATTATTCATTTTTGATTAGTGTATCTTTATTCTTCTTCTTCATTC